CGACCGGTCGGGCTGCCTGGTTGGGTTCGATCCACGAATCTTCTGGTCAGTAATTTTCGTGCCTTAAGAAATAAACCATCCAGAAACAATCACGAGGAAGAATCGGATACCCTGAGTTTTGCGTTTTATTTGGAATGACTGTCATTCTGTAAGTGGTGTTGATCCCTTGCATAACTATATACCTAGAAACAAGTGAGTCGGTTTACTAAGGTTAAGAATACTTTGAAAGTAGAGAATAACAGAGGTCAGCCACGATGCTAAAATCGGCTCGCACTGAAGTTGGTGACCGCGGCTTTGTTACCAGTGTAACGGTGGATGCTACTGATGAAGCATGCGAGTAGTATGTTGTTTCCCTTAAGCAAGCCTCACGTCTACTGTAAGTGAGATTTGTTACGGAATTTGTGCAATCGCTTCGTAGCATTCGTTTACGTTTGTATGATAGTCAATAAGTGTCCAGGAGAAAACGCGTTCGAGCAGAAGACGGATACACAGTTTCTATAGACTTGATGCATATGAGAGTTTTGCTTCCCTGTCCAATAGTCTGTAACTGTTCAGTTAGTGTTTCTCGCTAACTCCGCAGCGAAGGCCTTCTTCCTTTCATCAGTACCATGTCAAAGTCCACTTTAGGACAGTTGGTTGATGTCTACTAATCATCGAGAAGTCCGATGGTGACCCAGTATCCAGAAGCAAAGTAATTCTCATACCGGCACAGTGGGGCGACATTTTTTAGCTGTACACTTTATAGAAAATATCCCACAGCGATCGGGTGCCACATGAATAAAAACCTTGATAACTCACCATTTTTGCTCCTTCCGTTTAGGAACGCGGAGATGTCGGTAGATATGTTCTATTCACGTCGTCAGTGGCACTCATCTATCACGACCGTCAACCTAATTGCCCGTTTCCTTCCAATCTCTAACGGTGCGTCATACCCAGTATTGGCTCCGTTGAATTTCTCACCCTGTTGCTATTCACCGCCCATCCTCCCACCAACTTGATCAAATCAGTCGGAATCTTTGTAAGTAGGCAAGCAGTTCGTTGCCAAATAGATGGCTGCCTTATCAATGAATTTGTTTACGTGACCTCATTACAGTTGCTACTGATGTGGCAAAAGTCCACGTGTGTGTTTGAACTATATGGCAAAACCCAACTGTGGGCATTTGATCAAAACTGGATTTATATACTCATGTTATTCTCATACCTTGTCAGTGAGAGGTTCCACCTGCGGTCTAATAATTTGACAATATGGACTTATGTTCCCATAAGACAGAACGTACGAGTGATTTCTGAAAGGCATGTCATGACAGCAAAATTTATCACGCCCAAGTCATTCACCCAAAACTCTAATTCATAGATAGAAAAATGTATTCTGGCCAAAGGTTATCGGAATGATTAGACGAAAACCAGCCCTCTGTTATGAAGAAGTCATAAATCGAGAGCCAGCAGGTTGTGGGGCAGTTTCAATCATGTTCGGAGATTCAGTTATGTGTCTGTAACGTGCGATAGCTCATGTTGTGACACCGTTTTTTGTGAATTTCCTTAATCCCTCGTCAACATGTCTGCGGTACCTCTGGTTAGCTTTCTTCTACTTAAAGCCGCCGGTTATTTTTTCTTCTTCTGTTCTCGGGATGGGCTCATCAGATAGGTGAAGTCCCCGAGGTTCCATCAACCTTATGTTCTGCTGTGAGGAAACTGGAAAGATGAGACTTACACAAAACCGAGATCTTGCCGCGAACCATGCACTGGTAAGAACGGATGCCCCCGTTTTCGATGGTATCGATTCGGGCTAGTCTACCTTGCCGTTTAACTATCGGACATACTAGAATGCTAATTGAGTAAACAGCAAATGCCTAAAAAAAGAGTGGTGAACTGACCCCCGAAATAGTCTCCTTCGTGCAACGTCTTCACGGAAATAGACCCGCCACTCTGAAAAACACCGAGGGAAAAATATATCATAAAAGAATTGCAGTTGGAATTAATACATACAGATGTTTGTTAAAGCAAATTTAAAGCGAAAAAATCAAAATGTGCGCAGTGGTTGTGGAAAATCATGTAGGAAAAAGGGACGATTTCAAATCTCCGTGTTAGAATACCAGCCTGAAAATTCAGATGCGACCAACGTGCGTTGGTGATTTGTTTCCCGATGAAGCGTGTGGAAGGGTGCATCTGATTCGATGATGAGCTTCGAATGACTTTCGCCCAAAATCGAATGAAATCACCTTCTTCCATATGCATCTGCTCGTTCTGTATTTCCTAATTGGTTTGGTCATGTCATACTGCTTTCCATCAGTAGTAACCCCATCTGGTGGCTCCATCCGTGCCGATAACTTCTGTCATCGACAGAATGAAAGACAAATGTGTACTTAGAACTGCAAATCAAGAGTCCGTGCATACAACGGAAGTCATCTCTGCCGAAACCTGCCTATGGCAGTCAGTTGCACATTTTGAAATGCTTCGCCCTCCCTTGTTTTCGATCCTCGAATTTTATCCATACTGATTTTAAGAGGGAAATCTTGTTTCCATCGATCAGTATATTCAGCTTTTCAAAATCTTTTTTTGTTTTCACCAAAGACCCAAACTACCCAGCATTCCGAAGCAAACCAGTCTTTTTTGTTTCCCAGTGCCTCCAAACTTTTCGGTTTTGATGATAAATTTTCCCGAAATTTCCCGAAAATACGCAGCAAAACGAACTCCTGCCAAAGCTGTTTCTTTCAGTGTCTATTTTCGTATCGTACCATAACCTACCTATTCACTGGCCTGGATAGTGTTCAAACCGAAAGGATTATCGCAAAGATGCTACCATTTATACGCATTATACAGTTGCTGCGTGATTTACAGCACAATACCTGATAGAATCGGGGGACTTATGGCCTATGTTTTACGTGTGTGGCCTCCTGCAACGGAAAGTTACAAGACACTTGATCAAGTTCGACATGCGTAACTGCCATGTAAACGTCCGAACTTTGGCATACCCCCTTGGGTATCTGTTAAAGTTCAAATTTTGTGGGAATTTGATTGATTGGAATGAAACCGAAGGTGCTCCTTGCCTGACAGGGATTATTAGCATGGCATAGTTTCAAGGAGCTGTTCTTTCCCGAACCCCAGTTTTGTTACATAACAGACGTTTTGTACAATATTCCCGCTATTGTGTGATTTCCTGTTCTCGCCACGACCAACCACTATCTGTTATACACATATCATTCTAAAACTTGGGAATCACATACAGCCAGTCAGCGATGTAAACAAGAACCTCGACCAAACCAGAAAATGGTTTTGAACAAAAGCTTCAAAAGTTGCCCTTTTTCAACCGTGTTCTATCTGGATAAAGTTTGTCAATCCAACGTGAACTTCCCAGTTCGTTCTTTCTCCTTCATTTTTCCAAGTTCCAACATTTTCAACAAACAGTCCAGTAATATTGGAACAAATATTGCAGCTGCACCAAAAGAGCAGATTCCTAATTGCAGCATTCCGAAGCAAACCAGTCTTTTTTGTTTCCTAGTGCCTCAAAACTTTTCGGTTTTGATGATAAATTTTCCCGAAATTTCCCGAAAATACGCAGCAAAACGAACTCCTGCCAAAGCTGTTTCTTTCAGTGTCTATTTTCGTATCGTACCATAACCTACCTATTCACTGGCCTGGATAGTGTTCAAACCGAAAGGATTATCGCAAAGATGCTACCATTTATACGCATTATACAGTTGCTGCGTGATTTACAGCACAATACCTGATAGAATCGGGGGACTTATGGCCTATGTTTTACGTGTGTGGTCTCCTGCAACGGAAAGTTACAAGACACTTGATCAAGTTAGTTCGACATAACTGCCATGTAAACGTCCGAACTTTGGCATACCCCCTTGGATATCTGTTAAAGTTCAAACTTTGTGGGAATTTGATTGATTGGAATGAAACCGAAGGTGCTCCTTGCCTGACAGGGATTATTAGCATGGCATAGTTTCAAGGAGCTGTTCTTTCCCGAACCCCAGTTTTGTTACATAACAGACGTTTTGTACAATATTCCCGCTATTGTGTGATTTCCTGTTCTCGCCACGACCAACCACTATCTGTTATACACATATCATTCTAAAACTTGGGAATCACATACAGCCAGTCAGCGATGTAAACAAGAACCTCGACCAAACCAGAAAATGGTTTTGAACAAAAGCTTCAAAAGTTGCCCTTTTTCAACCGTGTTCTATCTGGATAAAGTTTGTCAATCCAACGTGAACTTCCCAGTTCGTTCTTTCTCCTTCATTTTTCCAAGTTCCAACATTTTCAACAAACAGTCCAGTAATATTGGAACAAATATTGCAGCTGCACCAAAAGAGCAGATTCCTAATTGCTTGCGCATCTGTAACTAAAGCGCACGGTTTTTTCTCAATTTTAGGATATATTCATCACAAATTATTGCTTTCAATTTTGGACCGCAGACAACAAAGGATCCTTTGGCCTGCTCTCATGCAGCACTTTACCAAAAGATATGAATTTCATTTTGATCACCACAAATTATGCTTAATTTCGTAATTACTTGATGACAATTGTTCACTACAATTTATGACCACCGTTCTAATTCTTCGTGTTCTTTTAATATTTCTGCATCTCTGTCAAATAGATCTCTGCGCGTCTGCCTTCTTCTGGAAGAAGTTGGAAGTTTTCACCACCAGTTGTATCCCTTTTCTTTTGTTATCGCAGATTTCAATGGCCTAAAGATAAGAGTTTCTAGTGGAAACGATATTAACTCCTATTCGGGTCATTTTAACTCCATCTATTGGGTTCGCCTTTTTTATCCTCTTATCCTACCTCTGTAAATCGCACACTATGGAATAAAACAACACCCTTTGTGGCCCTGACGCATGAGGAGCTATTCGGTCTGATATTTGACACAGATCGCCTATTTCGACCTGCAGCACGGCATAACCATTTTCTCAAATTCGAAACTAAAGTCAGCTAATTTCGCTTGACAGTACAAAAGTTAAAATCGGTAGAATTCAGCATCAACTCACTTATTACTGTCCACACCGAACGAACAAGTAACTGATAGACAAATAACTGATAGAAACACAAATATCAGCACAGCGCCAAATAGTGTTTCGAATTGTGTTTGCTGATTTGTCATTGAAGGTACAATATGTTTGTGAGATTGAATCGGGTCAGATGTGGCGTAATCGTGATTATCAGTGAAGTCCAAATCGGAAGTTGTAATGGATTATTTTATCCTAGCTCGGTCGATCGACTTTTCCCATTGAAACGAAGCTTTAATCAGGTCAAAGCCTGTTGAACAAGTGTGCTGCTATGTGATTGGTCTCACTGTGATCGACCAACCAAAAGCTACCGTAATGTGCAAAAGTACCGTGACGTGCCCCTGGTTTTAGGGCATCTGATTGCAGTGGAAGATTGTTTCTGTACTGAAGGGTCATTACTCAGATTTATTCGGTGTTATTGTAACCCAAATTCTCACCTGTTTGCAAAATACTTAAATGTAATTCGGCACTGAATAACTAATACTTTATCAAAAAGCTTATTTTTATGGTAATGTTTTGGAATATAGGGAGCTCGGGTGCACCGTATGATCTTGTCGGTCCGTTCTTCGAGCTTGGAAGTTGGATATCAAACGTTTCATCGCCCATCGAAATGACATTGTCAGTGCGGAGTTGAGTGGGTGAATTCCTCCTCCTCTGCCTATGCTTATATAGTTTCTAAACAGCATCTGGTAGCTCTGAAGTGATCAGTTGGTCTCGAGGCCATCTCAGCGTATTTTGATTGGCCACCATTGCATCTGAGTTGGACTCACCCCGTTCCATCTAATTGGTTCATTGGTTGCGTTCAATTCGACATTTCCGTGCTTCTGTTGTGATTGGGCCGTTTCCTTCTTGCTTAGTAGTCTGATTTTTTTTTCACTTGATTCGTTGATTTTAGCGGCCTTCCGCCTTCTCAGTAGTTTTCTTCCTTTATAGCCACTTGTTCGTTGGTTGTCATGCGAAACGACCAAAGTGCTGTTAATATTTGTATTATTGTTGAGAAAATATAAGTTACTTCGAGTGGTACACCAAAGGCGTACACGCACAAGTCGCACTTTGGGAAGCAGCAAAATAAGACAGTCTAACTTAAGTAACCACCAGTATTACATAAAATTTGTTTCTCATGACAGCATATGTGATTATTCGATTTCATGAGGTAATCCCTGGAGTAAGTAGCTTAAATGAAGAATTGATGTTCGCCTGTGAGAAATTGTGGAATAGCCTTCAAATTTCTGCTTATCTCATTAACCTTTGAACAATTATATCCTCTTTTAACGAGTACTTTGGCTGGTACAAGCACAACATTGTACTTGAATTCTACTCAGTTCATGGTCATGCTCAACTCTGTCGGGATTCGGACTCCGTTCACTGACGTGCGCAAGAATCCTCACATCAGTTGGCGATACTTATTGTAGTTTTGCAACAGCAATAAATAATCACTTTAGGTTTTACAAACCCACGAGCTTCGGCAAAGCCACTGACGCTAATTTATTCGGCTCTTCTAGCCCTGGTGAAGTTGATTTCGAACTTAAGCAAGTTCGTGTGCAAAGGTGACATTGAAAATGACATTAAAACTAACAAAAAAGTACAGAAAAATTTCGATCTCCAAGATGTGTCCACCAAGAAGACCCGGCGAACACAATTAGCACTTTTCCCAGGGCACCAGATGAGCGTTAGACACGCCTACATACATTTCTGCAGCACAGAGTTAATGACTTGTCCAGGCGTGAGAATTGAAGCGTGCCAACAAAAACATTAGTGACTTGAAGACAAAGTGAAATCTGTGGGTCTAATCACAGTAACCTAGATCTCCGTATTTGTGGCTATTCTAGGCAACATTCCCACGAAAAAAGCCATGCAATAGGCTTTCAAATCCTGATCACTAAAGTTCACCCAATCAAAAACTTAAGTCCACGTCAAAGCGAAAATGTTTCCCTTTATTCAGTGGCTAAAATTCTTAAACCGACCCCTCCTCGATAAATCGCAAAAATTGACATGAGTACCTCGAAGTAGTTGCCAACTATTTTATTACACCATGAGCTTCAATTTTTTGGGTTTCTCACTGCTTAGTGCACGTTTACAGTACTTTACAAACCTCTAGATCTTTTTAGGAGGTCATATCAAATGCAAGGAACCTTGTTTGAAAAATCTTACATACTTTCATCTGAGAAGTCGCTGCCCGAGGAGCCAGTCAACACGTGTGACCGCGTGATGTGGAACCCGTGGTTGAAAGAAGAGCTGCGCTATATCCTGAGAGCTACTCACACTGCTGACAGCCGCTCGTGGCCGAACGGCTAAGTGTCCAAACTACTGACCGAGAGGTAGCGGGTTCGAGACTCTTCGGAGTTCCGTGAGATGCGCGGTGCTGATGATTCCCAGTAAGGGTGAAACAGCTATACAGTACTTCTCGGCTTTTCAGTATAGATTGGCTTCACTTACGGGACGGGATCTTTATAATACTTTTTTTGTTTGATACACTATTCATATCAGGGAGTTAAATCTCCATGGTAAGACATCTGCACGAAGAAGACAGAGCTTTAATCAGAGTATGTTACCGTTTCAAAAAGCTACCAGATTCAGAGGAGCGAAACATTCATGTTTCTCGAATGGTCAGCTTAGTCTCGAAGCGGTGACAGTACAGCGAAAGGGAAGCATTCAAATGTAGATTGTCCCATCAGAAGACTGATATCTTCACTCACACATTGCCACATCACGTTGGCACGGAATTTCCGAGCGAAACTGACTGCAAGAGTACATACAAACTATCATCCTATACTATATCCTATACTATATCATCCTATACTATCATCAAGCATACTCTGGAACATATCGCAGTTGCGTCAAGGACTGAATGTAATGAGGTCGGAACGTGAGCTGTTGCAACGTTCGTTAACCGTGTTGTTATTGTCTATCGTTGCGTTTCACATTATCATCACTCCTATGCAAATAAAGCAGTAAAATGACAGGAAATATCTAAAATATCACACCAACAGGAGTGAAGGATTTTATCGTATGTTTTCAAAAGCTGTTCGCAGTAACCGTATGCAATATAAATAGAACCAAGTACAACAAACAGCATTTTCGTTTATTCAGTTCCTTCTGTGAGGAAACGGAAGATTTATCAGCAATGCGATTTTAGTTTTTTCGAAAATTAGCTATTGGACATTTCTAACTGTACACCTCTGACCGAAACGTGGCCTTACGATTTAATTTACGATTTATGAGCATGTCTGGAATTTTACTTCCCTTTGCATCGATTTCTTTATATATATGTGTATATACTGTTTATTTTACTATCTGTTGACGGATAAGTTTAAAATTCACGAATTTGTTCGAATTTGCCTTTTTATTTATTTATTTGTTTATTCATTTAATAATTATTCATTCACTGACGACTTTACTTGGCTCGAGCTTGTAACTGCAGTAACTGCAGTGCAATATATGCACTTACATTTCCCTGGATACCAAACGAGTGAGACAAAGGCTCGAAAAGATCAAGGGTTACGTGGCTGGGCATTTTTAGAAGAAAAATCATTGCGTGAATGAAGAATTTATATACATGTCAGTGATAAGACAGTCCAGAAATTTCACCAGCATTTTCTAAACACGTAGGTTTTATTTCCAATGGCACTGAAGACGGATGGTAGCCGTAATCTTGTAGCTGAATTCCAACTGATGTTGGGTCGTATTTTGAACTTTACTTGATGTGTCTGTCAGACAGTAAGTGAAGTTTGACAAGGCTCGCCTCAGAAGCAAACAAGTCGTATCAAGATGACGACAAACTGTACGAGGGATCTACGAGGGATCTCAGACGAACTTTCCAGGTGTTAGTGGGCAACAGCACCAAGATTTAGAAAGACCACTTACTGTAAGTGTACCTAAGTTACGCCTCCATTTTTTTCATAAACTACAGCCTAATAGGATCGTGTGTCTCCTGAATGTAGCGCCCTTCAATTTTTTGTTGTCCAAACTTTTGGTTCGCGAGTTCGAAATCCCAATTCGATCATGGAAATTATTTTATGCAGTTGTGACTAGAGTGCTCTGCCTTGATAAAGAGACTCCATTGAGCATCAGGGGTGGCGCAAAGACAATGTGACATTGTGATGTCACCTTGATTAACTTGGTTGAACCGAAAATCAAGAAAAACATGTGATGGTCCTATTTTAGAACACCCATCTGAAGAATATAAAAATTCGAAAAAATACAGGTGAAATACAGCTGGGTCTGCGGTCATCGGGAAGTTAATGTTCGGATGAATATCTGTGGTGAAGTAATTACTATTCGGTATTGAAGTATGATTTGTGCTTTATGGAGACTGGAGAGCTTGGTTTGCCTCAGGAATTTCAGCAAGGGTGAAAACGTCTATCGGTTGTATTGAGTATGACATCATCTGGTCAAAAGCAATGCTGGTTCGCTCGCCATGCCGGGACATCTAGATGAGAACACCCCATCGCTTGGCTTAATGGTTGCTACAGATAAATATTATCAGGATTTTATTGGTCTGACACGGTCTGATCGAATAAGCAAGTGAAGTCAACTAGAAATACCTTTTTTAAATGCCACATAAGTGGTTGTTGCCTGGCGCACTTTACAGTTATGGTTTTGGAAACAACAATGTGTCATCCAAATGCAGCGCTTATTAGCTTACCTAATCAGCGACAAGGTGAGGTTCAAACCCTTTTTCGTGAATTGGTTATATGTGTGCAGAGAAAAGTTTACCTCAGAATCATCTCGGAAATATTTGGCTTTATTATGTTTGAATTATTCAAAAAACTTCTGAGAAGTATTGCGTTATAATGCATGTGAATGTTTCAAATGTGCTCATTTGTCAGTCCTTGATTGCTTCAGCACAACGAAACGTATGGACCTGAGGTAAACATTTTTGAAACGTTTTCTAACACACTACTGCAAATGTTCGCCTGGACAAATTTACCTTAAAGTACATGTTCGGGAAAGTCACTAGCGCCTAACACATTGCCAAGTAATGGAACTGCTTGATGGTCTTTTACACAATGAACAAAAGCATTCGTCTTACCGCAAAATCTGTTTTAATGGAGTGCAATTTCACAAACGAGAAAATGTGGCTTCCAAACTCATGCCTAATGGATTGTGTGTGTGTTTGGGGACACTTTGTAGGTTGTTGTAGTGATCTACCTTTACTCCATTATAACGGTCACCCAACTTCTCCCGGCTC